GGCGCTGAGGCGGGCGGTCGGGCCCCTCTGGCCTCGGTGCCGCGCTGCGCCGCCGTTGCTGATCCAGATCGTTCGCTCGCTTGCTCCGTCCCCGTTCTCCGGCGCTGCCGTAGCCCTTCGCGCAGGCGTTGTGCGGCTTCACCCTGTAGGGCTCGGCTGGGAGGGGTTTTGTTGTCTGTTGAGAAGTGTAACTGAGGTTCTGGTGCTCCTGCTCCCTGTGTGTGCTTGACGGGCTCAAATCTACGGAAAAATCTTAAGCATGTTTTATAGATAGTGTATAGAAGTGTCGTTTTTGAGAGGCTTTGTAACTTACCCAGATCTGGGTTGTTCTGTGTGTGATTAGAAAAAAAAAAAAAAAGCAAATCAGTAGTAAAAGAACCCGTCCTCCTTACTTCTATCAATACCGTAGTTAGCAATTGCTCTACTACAGCCTTTTCACAGAATCACAGAATGTTCGGGGTAGGAGGGACCTCTGGGTATCTCCAGAGAAGGAGACTCCACAACCTCCCTGGGCAGCCTGTGCCAGGGCTCCGTCACCCCCAGAGGGAAGAAGTTCTTCCTCATGTTCAGATGGAACTTCCTGTGCTTCAGTTTGTGCCCATTGCCCCTTGTCCTGTCACTGGGCACCACTGAAAAGAGTCTGGCCCCATCCTCCTGACACCCACCCTGCAGATATTGATAAGCATTTATTAGGTCCCCTCACAGCCTTCTCCAGGCTGAACAAGCCCAGCTCCCTCAGCCTCTCCTCGTAGGGGAGATGCTCCAGTCCCCTCATCATCCTTGTAGCCCTCCGCTGGACTCTCTCCAGTAGTTCCTCATCTTTCTTGAAGTGGGGAGCCCAGAACTGGACACAGTACTCCAGATGGGGCCTCACAGGGCAGAGTAGAGGGGGAGGAGAACCTCCCTCGACCTGCTGGCCACACTCCTCTTGATGCACCCCAGGATTTTAAATCTTTTCAGGGAAATGTGTAGGTTTTCTTTTAGGTTTCAGGGGTTTAAAAAGTGGATTGGAACATTCAGCCGCCTTTTCCTCTCAAGATAAATAGCACCATCGTTTGTACACTCTGTGCTCCAGAAAGTGAATGGAACATATCAGCCAAATGGTCATGCAGTGTCCTGGAGAACTCAAAGCAGGGCTTTGCAACATCTTGCTGATTGGTCTAGGGAAAATAAATGGTAGTTCTAAGCTGCTGTGGGAAGTTTTGTGTTGTAGCAGTGAGATTTACTCTTTGTTTCACTAGGAAAATATTGCATAAACAATTAAGGAGTTGATACTGCTTATTTTAACTCACTGTTTTCCCTTTTTAGATTCATCTGCATTTATCCAGCATATTTGAATAACAAGAAGACGATAGCAGAAGGAAGAAGGATACCCATAGACAAAGTAATTTGTGGGTGGCAGAGAAATACGGTGTTTTGTTTTGCTCTGTGGTAGTGTGTGTAAAGTTGGAAAATAAACCTCAAAGCTGTTGATCTTTCCTATCTCCCATGGCAAGTAGCTCGAAAACAGGAAATCACAGTGTGTTTGAAGATAACCTAGTGTCAGCATGTGAATTTGGTAGAAGAGCACTGGTTTTAAGTGTCTGCTTCCATGTGAGCAGCACCTTTGGCAAGCAGGTGAAGCGGTGGGAAACTTCATGCACTCAACCTCCTACATAAGTAGTTTGCCAGATTTCAAAGCGATGCAGAAAAGAATAGCTAGCTAATGATTGTTTGCTCAGTGACTGGCTATATATGCCTATATTCTGTGCCCTGTCGCCATTGCTGCTGTCAAAGATAGAACTTACAGTGCATGTGGCACATAGGGTTGGTAGTTGTTGCTTTTAATCTGTCCAGAACTAGTTTTTGATCATCTCACTCCTTTGTAATATTTTTAAGAAGCAGTACTGGGAATATAAAGGGCTTTTTTTCTTCTGCTTAGGGTTGGGTTTTTTTTTCTGATAACAGTTAAAAATGAAATCTTCCTTGAGCATGCAAGTTGCCAAAGATCTGTCTATGGGAGGAACCTGCTGCCCTGTGCCTAGAAAGTTTCTGTTCTTTTCTCCTTCAGTCCTTGCTGTAAGTTTGCTGTTGCTCATTCATGGCTTTTGGGTTTTTTTTGTAGATAAAATTTTAGTTCATTTCAGTTGCTTTTTCTAAGCAATTCTTTTACTTGCTGCCATCCTAATTAATTCTATCTCACCTGTTTCCCGTTTTACTAATGTCTTGTCTCTTCTTTATTTTCTTTATTTAAGATACATTTTCTAGACCGTAGGAGCACTCATAAGATGACTTCTGGTACAGGGTGGGAAACTGCTAGTTATTGCTCTATAGGTAGTTCATAATTGAAAAACAATTAAGTGTAACACATTGTTTCAACAGGCTGTTGAAAATCCCACATCTACAGAAATCCAAGATGTATGTGCAGCAGTTGGATTCAACGTTCTATTAGAGGTAATTAAAAAAAACAAACCACAAAAAAACCTCCCAAAACTTGGTATGTGTTCATCTTTCATTGTATCTTTTCTTACAGACATGATAAATTACAGCTGAGCAGTTTTTGTTACCAGCTAAGATACTTGTATGCAAGGCTGGAATAACCTGGATCTCTGAGATGATGCCACTTTTTAAGCTTATAAACAGATTACTGTTATGTAACTACCCTTCTGAGAAAATGATCCTAGGTACTTAAAAGTGTGTCAGAATAAAAGCTGATTTTGCAAGCTGCAACTCTGCAAATTAAGCTTTTTAAAAAAGCAAATTTTTAATGAAAGGTGATTACGTATTGGAATGATTGTGCTGTAGGAATAGGATTCTGACGCTTGAAATCTTCAGGGTCCTTTGGAGTTATGTTTTAGCCGGAGAATGTTAATTTTTTTTATTGCAATACCTGCTTGGTCTTTAAATAGTTTAAGTGGGTTACTTATTTGCTGGGGACTGAGTCTGGGTTTCTAAAGAGGTAGCTTTTTGCAATTCATTTTCTGAAGTAATTACTCATTTTGAGTAGTTGAATTTTGTATCACTTCTTTACTAAAGAATTTAGGTCCTCATCTAAGAGGGCGACTGGTATCCAAAAACCAGTAGAATACTGCTTTGCTTTTCAGATTTTGAATCTATTCCTGTTAGTGCACACCAGCCTGTGAAATAGCCAGTACCAGCAAGAAACCACAAATGTTTTAGCAAAAACGAAGGCTATGAGTATCCAAAAGCAGTGGGCCTCAGACTGTGACCTGCTGACGTACTGTCTCCAGGTGTCCAGGGCTGTGGACATGAAACAAAACTTGTGTCACTGCGGTCCAGACTGGTGGGGAAGTAGAACGGTCCCTGTAGCAGGGTACTCACAAATTGTTCAGTACCAGTAGTGGGTTGCAGCAGTGCTTCTGAAAAAGTCATGCTGTACTTTGGATATTGCTGCAGTGGCTAAAGGGTGGGTGACGCTGCTGGAGAGCTACCGTTACGGTTTGCATCCGTTTGGAATGATTCCAGGCTGCTATGACTGAGATCAGTTGCCTGACAGATTTTGCAGAAAATTATTCCAGTACGTATCACAAAAAGTTCCTCGTTTTGTATGACAGAAAAACAAGATGTATCCTAGAGAGTGGAACAGAGATGTGCAGTACAGAGGTAGAGTACGAATCCAGCTCAGACAAGATGATGGCAACCCATGTTTACCTCAGTTTCCAACACGTGAGTAGAGTACCTGGGTTAGGCACTTTGTTACTAAAACAGAAAGACTTTGTTTATTTTGTTATATTACCAGCTTGTTTAACTAGTTTCAATATTACAAATTTTACAACTTACACAGGCAAACAGATTTAATGTAAAGTCAACCAAATCAAGTTGGTGTGCGAGCACTGAGTAGAGTTTGCAAGATGCTGTTGTCTTTAATCCTGCTGTTTCTTCGGCACTTGAATTGGAGGGGGTTTTGGAGAGTGTTGTGTGATTGCTGTGTTGAACAAAGCAGCTGTTCAGTGTTGGCTTACTGTTTTGTTGACAGTCAAAACAGATTTTTGTATTAAAATTACTGAATTCCACCTTTTTTTTTGGTTACAGACATTAGCTGGGCATCAGCATGCGTGCCAAATTGATAAAATACAATACTGACTTCATTTTTCTGCTGGCTATTTGCATAAATTAACAATGGAGCAGGTCCATTTAATTAACAAGAATAGTGCATCTTGAATGACAAGTAATTTAGTCTTTGGCATTTTTCCTGACGAGTAATGAGTATGTAAAGGGGAAACAAATATATATCTGAAGAAGCATGCATTTAAGGAAAGAGCAAGAAGAATACTGAATCTAGAGTAGCATAGGAGTGCTGTTGGTCAGAGGGAGACGATTTAAAACCATATCCCTGCTGGAGGACAGCAGTGCCTTCTTAAAAATACTTGAAGCTTTTGCCTTGTCAAACTGGGAAAAAAAGAGGTTGCGAAAGAGTTTTTCACAAACTTCTAGCTACACAGGGGAAGGAAGCAGAACTCATGGGCTTTATGTCTGTTTTAACAGAAATCTAAAGTGGGGCTGGAGTTTCTAACTTTGAAAATGATGCAAATGTTCTTAATGTAGTAGGCATGCATTGATCTCTCCCTGTATTTCTAGGTAAATCAGTGATGCTGTACGCTGCAGAAACCATTCCCAAACTGAAAACAAGAACCCAGAAGATGGGAGGTAGTGATCAAAGTCTTCAGCAAGGAGAGGGAGGCAGGAAAGGTAAAGGGAAGAAAAAGAAATGAGCTGCTTCTGGAATAATTGTTACGTCACATAGCTGTACTTAAAACAAGTATGGATGGACACATTACTTGCTGCAGCTTTGAAGTGAAAGATACAAGCGAGAAACAAACAGGTGAAAGTGAATAGAACTGCCTGCTTGGAACTGGAATGCATGTCCGCATCATTGTCACAATAAACCTGTCTGCACACACAGCCTGCAAGCCTGAAGCTAGCATCCGCTTTTAAAAGTGGAAGAACATAAGCAAATGGGGTGGGTGGAAGAATTATTATTTCCAGAAGAAATATGCAGCTTTTGTTAAATAAATATTGTTAGGCGGACTAGATATCTGAAAACTGGTTGCCTTAGTAAACCATGTACCTGTGCTAGTGAAGTGATTGTCTTAATTCCGGAGAGTCTTTATCACAACAGAAAAATGTAAGTCAATGAAGTTATGGCTCTGTAAACTTCCCTTGCTAATAATCTTTCACAACTGTCAAGTGTACTAATAAAGGTGATGTTAATTTTGAGAAACATGATTTTATAGAATACTTTTTCCAAAAGTGTTAATTTTTCCTCTACAGCCTGTTGTAATGAAGTCAGTGGCATGTATTGTGAGGATAATACTGTAAAGTTTTAAGATAATTTGAAAAAAATGGCTCCCTTTTGTGTCGTGTATAATATGGGACACTCTATTGCCCTATTTTTGGTTGTTGTTTCGGAGCTTGGGAAGCATAGCTTTATTTTCTACCTGTCAATTGACTGTTTCAGATGTCTGAGGCTTGCAGTATCTAGTAACTTAAAAGAATTCTTTTTTTTTAATGTAGTCCACAGACAGGGACAGAACGTTGTTTGCAGAAGATGAGTTGGTCAGAACAGTTGTCCAGTAGCAAGGCTCTGTCCCAGTAATTAAGAAATGAACTGTGCAAGTTAAATGAGGGGTAGTCTAGTATTAGGGGATGGGAAAAGAAACAGCAGTACCTGTTTTGAGATGAAAACCAAAAATCCTGCATGAGTTTTCTAATCCTTACTATATGAAAGCATTCAACTGACTTGGCTTTCACAGCTGACCACTGGAAGCAAGTTATCAGGTTATTTTTGATAAATGTTTTGTGTGGCTGTAATCTCTTCCAGGTTTTGTCCATCAGGTGTGCTGCTCTATGGCATCACCTGTTGCCCATTTTAAAGATAAACAGCATGCAAAATGTATCTAGCCATTTAATGACTACTCTAAAGTAATGGAACTTGGCACCAAGTTCCTGATATCCCTGCTCAGGTTACTTGTGCTTGTCGTTTGGGTTTTCTTACGTTCTAGTATTTCTTGTTCCACGCCACTGCATCGTTTGCAAACAGATGTGAGCTGACCCTGCCCTGTGAAGTCGGTGCCGGTAGTGCTGCTGCGCAGAGCCCCCGGCATGCGAGTAGTTCGGCGTCGGTGATGTTCCCTCTCCGTGACACGCTGTGATGTGGTTCTTGCGTTGCATTGGTTGCCAGAGGAGGGGGTGCGTTCTCGTTCTCGCTGCTCTCGTACCAGACTCAAACGCTGCCGGGACAGAGCTGCTCAGGGCAAGCCCTGTGCCGGTGTGGGAGCAGCAGTGTGTAGGCTCTCTGAGGCAGGATGGCTTGGGAGAAGAAATCCTGTATTCTACGGCTGTAGTTGACTGTGTTCACATACAAGTGCCTTCAGGTTTTTTTCTGCTGATGTAACGGTTTACACAAGCTACCTGCGGATTGTCTGGCCTTGAAAGCGCACCGAGGTTTTGAGAAGTGAGTTAAAATGGTATCTCTGCGAGCTGGTGGGATGCTGTGGGGTAGGAGCAGCAGGAACAGGTGCTATCTGAAAGTTTTTTTTGTTACAGAAAACAACCAGATGTGATCAGAAGTTGTTAGGTGCATCCACTCTGTGGAGTACAGAAGTGCTACAGGTTGGTTGCAACACGGGGAAAAGTACCAAGTGAGATATCCAAGCAAGAGTGGAAGACGCACTTGTGGTATGGAAGACCACAACTGCCCACAGATTATGGGGCTGGAGTTATTCCTGGCTTTTCCCAAGTGCTGGGTCACTTCTCTGAAACTTTTATTTAAACTGAGAGCTCTCTGAAAATTTTTTGGTACCAGGCAACTCAGCTCTGTGATCTTAAGTGGAGGGGAATGACTCTGGCCAAGTCGACGATCGTGTCATGCCGAAGTATTGTAAGTCGGAGCTCTAGACGAGACAGCTGAAAAATGTGGAGGTTGAGTCTTGTGGGAGATCTGTTTACAGTGACTAGAAATTAAGTATCTTACAAACTTGCCTGTCCTATGGTAGGTATGTTGAGAAAGAGTCTTAGTGGTATTGCTTACCAAAATTTCGCGATCAAAGAAGCCAAAATAGTAAATTTTAGCTATTTTTAAGTGTAAAGATCTTACAAGAAAGTCTGAGAGAGATTTCTGAAGCGAGTAACATTGAGCTCAAATGTATAAAACTGGGATTTAATCAAATTAACAAAGAAAGCCCTAGGGATATTTTGGGTAAAGCTGACTTTTTTTTTTTTAAGGAAATTGTGCACTGCTAGGAAATCAGATGATTACTGCCATGAGGAGGTGGAAGACTGAGTCCCCCAACCCCTGCCTCTTTATCCCCCATGTCTGATCGAGCTCAGCGTTTTCCTGTTTCTGATCTCTGTCTGGCTTTAGGGTAAGTGTATCATGTGAGCAATATTTATTCCTAAACTGGGCGTCAGAACGTTAAACACAACTCCCCTTTCCTGCCAGGGTTAAGCTGGCAAACCAGGCTTTCATTTCTCTATTTCCTGTTTTTTTAATAAACGGGGTTCTTCAGAGGACTGAAAACAAACAAGATGAAAACAAGATGGACAGTCTGCAGGTCTTTCCCCCTTCCCCTCTCGCTGCCACCCCCGTCAGTTCCTGGGAACAGGCACCATGCTTCAAGGCCGTTGTGGGACTGCGAGTGCTGTAAAACCACAGGAATACTGCAACTGCTGATCTCAATGCTATAAAAAAAAAAATCTTTTTTTCTGAGGGAAAAACTGGGTGATAATGGATGTCTGTGTTCCACCTGTCTTGCTTTTACGTTTTCTTTGTGAGAAACTGCTGAAGCAGTATAGTTACTGGAGAGACCCTGCGATGTGTGTTTTCTGTAGGTGGCAACATGAACAGAGAGATGTGCACCGCCGGAGGGACGTTTGCTCTGCAGCTCAGGGGGCATTGATATATTGGATATGGTTATTGAGCTAGGGTCCCTCCAGAAGATACGACTCTAGCTAATTAAAAGCATATACTTGTTATTTTTGTATACTTCTTTTTGGGTACCTAGACAAAGATTAAGCACTTGAAATGGACACGTGAGCTCGGAATCCGTGTAACGATCCTTGTAGCGATTTCTGTGTCAGCAATGGGTGGGAACATTGACCCTGGGCATTAAGCAGGTCTGAAGACACAGGCAGTCAACACTGGCATGATAAAAATGAAAATTCAGCACTGTTGTGAGATCGATGCTTTATTATTTTGGTTGTATGGAAGAGGGCACGTAGCTGCTGTGCCAGAAGCACAACCATCATTACTCAGTTCTTAATATAAAGAGGATTTGAGAAGGTTATTTTGAAATGTGTTCTAGCTTGGGAAGTGACAACAATGTGTGACCGTATGTAGTTCTTCACCTTCAGCCATGAAGCAGATTTCTCAAAGACTGCATCTGCAGAAAATAGCTGTTCTTAAAAAAAACTTGCCTGTTTTTATGTACTGTTCCTCGTGTGCACTTAATGGTTGGAGCCTTTAGGCCATAACTGCCTTTTGGGGTAGCCTGTACATCTGGGATGTTCGTGTGTGCTGTACTGAGGGCGTGGAAGACAGCGTGGCACCCTTGCTTCCTTCTCTGCGGCTGCAGCTGTACCTGTGTTGGAGTGGGATGGAACAGACAGACTGCATCAGTTGGAAGGGACGTACAAGCACCATCTAGTCCAGCTGCCCGACCTCCTCAGGGCTGACCAGGAGCTAAAGTGTGGTATGAAGGGCATTGTCCAAGTGCGTCTTAACCACTGACAGGCTTGGGGCATTGACCGCCTCTCTAGCAAGCCCGTTCCAGAGTCTGACCACCCTCTCAATACAGGAATGCTTCCTGATGTCCAGTCTGAACCTCCCCTGGCGCAGGTTTGCACCATTCCCAAGCACCCTGTCACTGGATACCAGTTATTAGCTGCTTCTTGTTACAGACTGGCCTTTACAGGGTTATTTGACCTCACAGGATAAAATAACCTCACTTCTAAAAGAGAGGGTTTTTTCCCCTAAAGAAAAAAGACTTAATATAAATAATCTATTGCTTTATAGCTTTTGAGCCTGCTGAGTCATTTGGTTGGCACGAGACAAAGAGCAGAGGTCGCCAAGATAGTGAGTTCCGGTAAGTCATGAAGCTAAGTGGTCAGACCAGGAGATAAGACTATGGTAATGCATCACCCAGTGAGGAAACTTTCTGTGTCGCTGGTGGGGCAAGGAGGACGAGTGTTTGTCCTTCCTGGTTGGCAGTTTGCTCGACCAAACAGTGTTTAATGCTGGGTGTTCAGCCAGCACATGCGCAGCTGCGAATTAGGTACAAGTTTTGCTAACGGCCCTGAAAAGACGGGAGAATGGAAAGTACCGCAGCAGCTGGTGTCAGGGGGGCGGGAGGAGACTGGCAGGTAGTGTGGGACCTGGGAGGGAGCCGGGGACACGCCAGGTAGGAGCTGAGTACCCCGCGCAGTCGTGATGCTGCTTGTAAAACAGCGCGTGTGTCTGCCCTTCATCTGCCAGTGTGTACTGGTTTCGGCTGGGCTGGAGTTAATTTTCCTCCCAGCAGCTGCTGTGTTTCAGAGTTAGTGGGAGAAGAATGTTGATAATACACGGATGTTTTCAGTTGTTGCTAAGAAATCAGGGACTTTTTTTCCAGTTTCCCATGTTCATCTGATGAGCAGGAGTGCAGGAGCTGGGAGGGAGCACAGCCAGGCAGCGAGCCCAAGCTGGCCGGTGGAAGTGTTCGCTACCAAGGATGTCAGCTCAGTTTATGGAGGGGGGTTGGCCAGAGAGGGCAGCAATTCTCCCTTTTCTGTGAGTTCAGGCTTCTCCTGTGAGTTCTGCAAAATTCGCAAGTTTGGTGCAATCTGCGCGCTCCAGGAAATCCACGGGTTCCACGGCGGCGGCTCACGGACTGACTGCACAGTTGATCAGTTGTCGGGCAGTGAGCAAAATTGCACCGTGTGTCACTTGTTTTGCATACTTCTTATTGCTATTATTTCCTTTGTTGCCTGTTAAGCTGCCCTTATCTCAGCCTGTGGGTTTTACTCTTTGCGCATTCTCCTCCCCATCCCAGTGGTGGGAGGGAGGAGCGCGTGAGCTGCTGGGTGGTTCTTACTGCCAGGTTAAACCACGACACCAGCTTTGGGAGCTTTTTTGGGCGTGGGTTTTTGTTTTGTTCTGGGTTTTTCTCCAGATAGCAGAACGTAAGACATGTCTAGTTGAAGGCGTTCAGAATTTTCTTCCTGCAATAATACGAACGCCAGGTGTATATAAAGTGTTATTTGTTTTGTGGACTTCTGTAGCCTCAGCAACGGCGTCAGTTACATGGCCTTCCAAAAGATGCTAAATTCAAGGAAGTTCATCTTCAATTATTTTTACTTGACTAGTTCATGAGGTCATGTGGTCATCTGAGGATTTTTCTGCTCCGGAATATCTTAATGTTTTATGTACCAGTAGGAAATGTATCCTTCAGAATACTATGTCGACGTGGTTGTACAGCCAAGGACTGCTGCAGTGGTCCTGGGCTGTTACCCTCCAGGTACTGTTCCATTCCATCATGCTGCATGGAGACGTTCTCTGGACAAGACTCATGGTCGCTCTGTTTGCATGGCTGCCAAACGTGTGCTTTACAGGAAATACTGACAGTCTCTCATGACCTACAAGAACTTGAGATTTCGTTTTTCCGGACTCTGTTCTTCCTCTGTTGCACAGGGACTTTATTGTTGGTGGAGTCTGAAATGGGGGCGGGAGGTGATGAAGCAATGTCGTACCATTTTCGTGTTGATTCTCAGACTACCCAGAGTTGACAAGACTGGAATGCAAACTCAAGACACTTTCTTAAACTTGTCAAAAAAAGTTGTGAGGGTTTGACCTGGCAAGTGTCAGTCACATCCTCCACTACTTACAAGAATTTCTATTCTTTGTTAACCATCTTTAGTTCGAAGAATTCAATTTCATTTTGGTATCACTAATGGTGATGTTATCATTATAGGGCTTTTAAAATGTTTCTCTTTTATTCCTTTTGGCTGAGTTTGGAAATGTGTAGGATAACGGAGAAGAAATCTCCTACGTACCGCTGCTTCTGCTACCACTGTAAGTGTAACACAACCTCCCCCCACTGTAGCTACGCAGCATTGTTTGTTTAGGTCATGTATGGAACACTAGAAAATTAATGGGCGAGGAAAAACGTTTGAAATCCCTGTAGTTTACCATTTTTCCTCTCTGCATTGCTAAAGAACACTAAACCTTGGTGATTCCTGCGGTAAGCAAGGCTCTGCGGTCCGGAAGGCCACGCTGGGCAGGCTGCTGAGAACAGAGGTGTGTTCCGAACCCTTCTGCTACGGCCTGGTGCTCTGCAACAGCTTGGCTGCACCCAGAGAACCACTCGTCAGGCAGCAGCGCTGTCTTCAGGCTTTCAGAGAGGGGTCTACTAGCTCCACACCAATAAAGTTTGCGTAAAAAAAGTGAATATCCTGTAAAGACCTTCTGCCCCTGAAAGTAATCAGGTTTTCAGGGTTGAGGTACAGGGTTCTTAAGAAACACTGAGGCAATACACCAGTCCTGTAAGAATCTCTTTATTTGTGTCCGTTTTTATTTAGCACATTAAAACATCAGCACAGACATGGAGTAGATGCATGTACCAACATTTGCACATAAATGTCGTGAAGAGGACTGGGAGAAGAGCCCTGGTCTGCGGGGCCAGCCCAGTGGAGGTACTTGCAGGAAGGGATAACTTGCTGCAGAAATTCAGTCATTTCTACTTGCATCAAGGCAAACAAGATCAAGTTCTGTTAACAACAGGTGGTAGTTATAATTCAAGTAGAAATCTGACAAAGGAGCACTGAATTTACCCGCTGGTCAAGAAATATCAATTTGTGAAGACAAGGAGTTCATTTAAAGCATAACTGTTCAGCTCTAAGAGACGTAAGGGAGTGTTTCAACACTTACAAAGAAATATTTTATCCCCATTAATACACAGTGGAAGAACTGTTGGGTAGTATGAAAAATGAAAAATAAAGTTATGTCTCTACTACAGACCTTGTTAAGCTTGGAAAGTCTAAGATTTATCAGCAGCCTTTAGAGAAGATATATAGTACTTTGTACCTAAATCAAATAGGCTCAGTATCTTTATTTCAAGCGGTGAAGCTAAACTGCATGGGCCACATGACTGCTACACACACAGCTGACAGTGCTTAAAACACAGCCCTAGGATTTAGCATGGCTTACAGAAAAGTTTAGTGGGTTTAAGACAGAGGGAGATAAGACATGAAATTAAACCACTTAAATGCTGAGTCACTTCAAACTTTTTACTTGCTACGTCTACAACCTTGCTGGAAACTTTTCCATACTCTGCACATCCACTCGTGACAAGAAGCTGTCGTGGAATGGTTAGCGGTGGCATTTCACAATTCCTGCTTCACATGACAAACTGCGTGCTGATCCACAGAAAATTATGCACAGTGGGTCTGATGGTTCCCTGTCCAAGCTGACAGCCGTAAGGGCTGTGTTTGCCAGCTTAAAGCTGAAAATGCTTTCTCTTAAGACACTTCTACATCGCTTCTTATAATACGTATCTCTCAGATTTAAAAGTGACCTGCTGAGTTGCACTGTGTGCTTCATTCTTTTGCAGTACTTGTCTCTGGTATATAAACATTCACTGTAAATTTTCAACTTGTTGCAGAAAGCCAAAAGTCTTCAAAAGTCAATTTTAAATCTTTTGAAGTTAAGAATGCGGACCACAAACTGCTCTTTATGGTACCAAAAGCTTGCTTGCAACTTGCATGTTCTGCAAGTTAAGAACTGTCATTGCCTTACTGTGGGCTTTAAAGAAACATCAGCATGGAGATGAGAATAGGGAGATTTCAGTGACTCGTGCTGAATTTGTTGAAAATACTGCAGTGCAAAAGAGCATATACAGATTCAGATCTAAAAAAAGAAATTCTTTTCCACTGATTGCAAAAAAGCCTTTATTCTCTTAACAACTTCAGCTGCATTCTTACTGACTGGTCAGTGCTCATGGGAAGCTGTTCTTAGCACAGCCAGAGGAGATTTCAGGTTTTTACGAGCACAGCAGCTCACAGGAGGATGTACTCCATCCCACTAACGATGTAGTACCCCAGGCAGTTAATATCTCAAAAGGACTTTAGGAGAAAGTGTTTGTAGTGGTACCACTCCTCAGCAAAAGGTGGTTTGTGCTTTTGAGTGTGATCTTCAAAGGCACTCTACTAACAATTTTAGATGACAATTTTATTTAACAAGAAGAGGCAAGGAGTTGTACTTTAGTCATCTTGTGCTAATCTTGTGCACTTTAATGCATCTATTTCTGGGAAACTACTTCACGCTATTATAAGCTTGATCACTTGAGCAAAGTTACTCTTTCCTATATGTAGTATCTATTCATTTAAGAATACACACACTGTACCAAATTATTGTTACAATGAAACATGCAACAGTGAATAATCTCTATCATCAGGTGCCTAGAACATGTAATCTCATCATTTACAACTTTATTGGTGGGGAGTACATCCGTTATGGCATCTCTCACAATAACTCCCTGCATATTCAAGATCTGTTCAGACTAGTATTTTCCTTACAGCTTCATGTTACCAGATGCACCACAAAGTGTTAAGAGTAATTACATACACAAAGAGACAACTAAAGTGCAGAGCCTGTAGGATATATTCTTTTTATTTATGGTACTGTAAAAGGAGATTACTGAAAGATTTCTTGTGCATGAAGACGAATGAAAATATTTTCATTAAGCTTCAGATGCTGCCCACTGCATTGCCTTTAAATAAAAACGCTTACTTCCTATACAGACACAGCAAAGCAGTCAGCAAACTTACAACACATTCCTTTAATATACCAAAATGTTTCCAAGGCAATATTATTAAAATTATACCACAGTTTCCAGTAACATCAAGCTTCATAAAGGAGGCGGTAGGGAAACTTTATCCAGTTAATAGCTTAAGTGCTCTTCTTTTCTTCACCCAATAAGTTCACTGTTGCTTTCTTGGCTGCAGGAAAATAAAATCAAGTTTAATTTTAGAGGCTTACAAACTAAGTGGCTTCTTCAGTGTTCTTCAGCTGCATAAAACAATATTCTTGTATTTTTTGGTCACACAAGAAGTATCCCAAAAGAAGATGACAGCTTTTGTATACATGTACACACACACATAGTGATAAAACTAATCATATAAAGGCTTTCCAGCATCAACCAAGGAGCAGCACAATAAACAGCACAGACTGACTTACAACTACTTTATCAATAAAATAGAGCTGCTTGCAGTTTTTAGTACATACGGCTTTATGGCAAGAAATCTACTACCAAGCTGATGAAATAGGGCTGGAATACTGCTAATGTGTGCATGTGATGATGTGCATGATTTCTTAAAAAAATGTATGTATGTGGAAATCTTCACGTGTAAAAATAGCAAAGAGAAAGAACAAACGATGGCATGAGGATAGAAAAATCCCATGAGGAAGGCAGATTGTTTAAATACCAATAGAAAAATTGCTTAAGTTGGTAGGAGGAAATGAGACTGCATGCATTTTTTGGTGGAAAGAAGGCTTAAGGTGCTTTGAAACATCTTACAAATAAATTCCGTCTCAAATTACATTTAAATAAACCTTTACTTTTTAGAGTATGAGGCATCACCTTAGAATGTGAGGAAATAAAAGCAAAAATTAAGCAATCTACAGGCTGTGATAGGTTTTTATTTGGTTAGAATAAATTTTAAGTAATTTCTTTAAAAGTGGGCTCAGAATCCTTTGATTTTCAGCGAAAGGAAAAGTGCAAAAACCCTGATGGGAAAATTCCATTTCACATTGTTGCTGTTTGTTGGAATTAAAGGCTTTGCTTTACTACACAGCTGGCAGCTCTTCTACACTACCAGGTATTTTAGATTGTATTTTAGGAGATACAAGAATACACTGAAACAATAACTGCCTTTATGGAAGGTATATCTTTGGACCTGCCTCTAGGGAGAGTGTTTATAGTGGTGTGTAAGGTGGGAAGACACACAAACTAATTAGCTGTTTCTTCCACGCACGCACTCATTCTAGCTAACTGTACTCCTAGAAGGTAAGATCCACTGCTATCCTCCTTTCTGGCTGTCTTCACCCAAATTCAACTTCTCCATTATAATTAGTCTTCTTCCAATTTTTTTTTCCCCCAGATTATGCATATTAACTGTAATATTAGAATTTCCCCAGGAAATTCCTCCTACTCGATCAGTGAACGGTCTCTTCCTCACCTTCTTTAGTGATGGTATCTGCAGTCTCTGCAGCCTTGTCTTTCAGGTCTTTAACAACACTGTCGAGCTGAGCTTCATGCTTCAGGAAGAAAGGCCGGATAATTCGGTGATAGAGAAACTCTGCCCCATTAGAAGGACTTGGAGCCATGCACCACAACAGGAAGCCACACTGCAAGGAACAAGAACATCCGCATTAAGTAGAAGAAATGAGTAAGAGACAAGGCATAGCGCGCCTTCCCAACTCTGCCACAGACTTGAACGTATTTAGAACAGCACGTCGTCCCCTTCATTTTGTACGGTCACAGTCCAATGAGCACGCACATCAGTATAGTTACATACACTGAATCTTTATATTGAAATAATTTAATAGATACTGATAGGGTAAAGAAGGAAGGCTGTAGCAGTAAAGTGAATCTGGTAACCTTTTTTTTTTAAAGGTAGAAGTATGAAGCCTGATCAGGCAAAACATTAGTTTCTCTGGCTGCTTCTAAACTGTGCCGCACAGGCCTGACTGAAAGTCTAGGTCCCTAAATCCAGCCAAAACATATCCCTGTCATCTCTGCCTCCCTGCTTTGAAAATGCAGCGGGGCAAAGAACGGGACTGTGTGCATCCCAGAGCTAAAGTGACAAAGAGGAAAGATATATCCAAGGTACACACAGCACACAGACAGGGGTAATGCTTTTGGATGGCACAGTTTAGGTATAGCTTTTCTAGCACAATGTGTTCTCTTGGGAAAAAAAAATCCCCAAATTCCACAGTGAGTGGGGTATTATTTCTGCATCTTGCGAAGCGGATTGGAAAGACAGCTATTACATGTATTACAAGCATCTGTCTTTACTGCTGAAGCACCTTTATTTGGCTTCAGTTCCACTGCCATACACAATACAAAGATAGCTATACAAAACAAAATCGAAACATTTAAGCAACAGGAAGTGCTGTAACTAAATTTGCTTGAGCTCTGAAAGCATATATAAACAGATTTTATAGGATAAAACTGCAATAAAACTAATCATATTTTCTCAGTAATGGTACAGTTCTTTTCAGACACAAATAGTACAACATTACTCTGTGTCAAAAGCCTCTCCACAAAAGAAAAGCAGAACAGGTTTTCACAGACCACGTTTTCTTAAAATACAAAACAAAACCGTGCCAGCTTTAGTCAAAATGTGCTTTGTTTTGATGCCAGACATGATTAAACATTTGAGGATGTCCTGGGTTCAGCTGGTATAGGATTAATTTTCACAAGAAGCCGGTTGGGCCAGCCCAAATCAGTCAGTCAAACGGTATTTGAGTGGGGGAGCTGGCTGAAGGAGGGGGATTTGCTACTCAGGAGCGAAGTGAGCATCAGGCAGTGAGAACATTGCACGGTGAATATTCTTTCTATCAGTACTGCCATTATTATTTTCTTATCCCTTTGCCGTTCTGTCAAATTGTTCTTAACCCAACCCACAAGTTTTGCTTTTTTGTTCTGATTCTCCTCCCCATCCCACCGGGGTGGGTGAGTAGTGAGACAGCGACCGCATGGTTCTGTGTTTCCAGCTGGGGCCAAACCATGACACACACGTTTTTGGGAGGAGAGGGGAAGAGGGAGAAATCACAATGACTCAACTCTTCCTCCTGGAGGAAAAAACCCCCAGCACATAATCAGCTAAATCATGCATCAAAAATCAAACTAATCATTCAAACTACAATAAACCCATAAGCAACTTAAAGGTCTGCATTTAAATACAGTAGGTCTTATTTAAATAGCTTAGATTTCAGAAGTTTTCCAGTTTTCACAGCAGTATCTACAGCAGCTGAAGAGATGTTTCAATGCATGTGCTAGAGCTTCTGAAAGTCACTTCAAAAATATAAGCCAAGTCTTAATTATTTATAAGGTTTCCAGTACATTGCACAGCACAAAAGCTTTTCCTAAAACTAGTTCGATCACAATATCCTTTCGGAATTCCACTGTGCCTAGCCAGACATTTCTGTCTCCTCTCCTTCCCCTGATACTTTTGATTTCCCACTGTAAAACTGCAAAGACACAACCACATCCAAATATTTGTTTTGGTATTACATAAGAAACTCCTAAATAACAATCTGGCCATTGCAAGGTGATTTAAGTCATTGAATCATAAAGTCAAGAGAGGTTATTTCAAAAGAAAGGTTCTGATTTAACAACAACAAGAAGAAATATAATAAAATCCCTTTTCAATTACGAAAACCACATAAGTCTACTTCAGGCAAGCCTTCCAAATATTTTGGAATATCTCCCCTCTGTTCTTTCTCAGACAAGGTACATCAAGACTGAATGTTCTGCAGGTTCTGCTCTTCACACCTGTAAAATTTTGGCTTTTCACCACAGTAAAACTGATCCCCAACGCACATCAGTAAACAGCTACTGCTTTTGGAGATTTCTACTCCTTTTTTCTTTAAGGCCACTTCTCATTCCTCTTGCCCTAGAGAAAATCAGTTATGATGTATTTGGAGCTGGACAGGTATCTTGACAGGCTGTCTCTTCAAAAACGATCACTGATTCCTGGGGCTAACAACTGCCTTCTACAGAGGATTTTGCCTAACCAATTTACCATCCTTTTAGGTAAGCTTTAGGTTTTCTTCTTAGAACTATTTGATTGTGGTGTCAGAACAGAATGGACTTACAGGAGTGTTTGCCCAGAAGACAAAGAAAAGTTTTTCAAAGTAAAGTGTCCAACAGTGAGAATGCCTACCAGGAACATTTCAATGAATTAAAATAAATAATTCAACATGCAATAAAATTTGGCACCAGTAAGTAGCAACCAATGCAGTATCATTAAGCATGGTCAGAGAAAAGAAAGGCAAAAAGTGGTGGAATAGTAATATTCAAAAGCTTCTATTATTTGGAACTTCGTATAGTAGGAAGAAAAAATGATACTATCTTCTGTTGTAATCTTTCATTAAAAGCTGAGAAGTATATTGATTTTATTTCCTGTTAAAGAATACCTGGCCAATTACTGATGGTCACTTTACTTGCCAATACACAGAGATGTTACTTAGCTGTCCTTTTTTTTAGGAAATCCCTCAACTGTAAGTTTAACTTCCTCTGAAACTAAAAGAAATTGAAATTTCCCTATTCTTGCCTAAGAACAACATTAGTCATTTTGATTTTACAGCTTTGTCCTAGTCTAGTCAAGAAAAAAAAAACAGATCTTTTGCAGTTACAGATTTGTTCTCAAATACCTATTCCTATACCATTTTGAAATGTACTGAAACAGATGCTTACACACATTTTCTAGAGGACACATACCAAAGCTGCAAATCTCAGTCTTTTCAAAGCTTGAGAATGTCAGACAGCTAACTTAGTTATTTTTCCCTTGCCTCTTGCAAAACTGAACATAGACTATTCAAAACAAAGTGGTTTGTAAAAAGGTCCAGAAGGCTCAGAGTGATAAAACTGTTAACTGGGAAAAAACCCAACCCCCTAAATTATTTGTGACCCTCCAGACCACCCAGAGGAGAGAGTGGAATTTGTGCAATAGCGTGACTTCCTTAGGCAGACACATGAGCTGGGTCTAACCCACCTGGATATGATGCCAGCAGCTGCTACTTTCACTGGCTACAGTGTTTTAGTACCTGAATGCCAAAGAAATCTTTAAATCATTTACAGAAGTGCTGAAAAACAGACCACATACACACAATAAATCATTAATTACACAAAAGTCCTGTGCTTCTGAGGAAAAAAAAGCAGATAAAAAAATCTGCATTACAAAAAACCCACAAAACCCAAGAAATCTCGAAACAGTTTTCAACCGGAGAACAAAAGTATATGCAAATCTCATAACATATTGAAAGGAACTCTTCAACATGCCTGTCTCCCAATTCTAGTGTGCTGAAAACTTTTGAGGTGACAGAGCCCAGGCTCTGGACTTAGGGGAATATGTGAGCAGCTATGACCAGTGCCTCAGCGCTGCACGTCAAGGTATATAGAAATACTGAGCAGCTAAAACTCAGTCTGGAATGGAAGCTACAAGCTGTATCAAATAAAGGTGAATATGCAAATTTAGTGTATCTGCAAAACGGAAGCGAGCTTGAAATCTGCATGAATGACACATCTGGGCTTCTATTTCATAACATCATGAGAGAGATGGAGACATTGCAAACTACACTACAGGAGGTTTCAGTCGCAGATGGACTGAAAGTTGGAAGCTGCTTCCTCCTTTCCCCACAAGGAGTAACTGCCATCCTCCCACCCAGTCAGTAACGCTTTCTGATTCTCAGCCAACACCTTCTGTCTGCCTTTGTATCACAGAAGTAAACCTGTTCTACCACCCACTACCGACAGTAAATATTTCACTTCCATGTGCCTTCAGCAGCTATCGCAGAAAGCTGTGCATTTACCGTAGTTGCTTCCTTGTGTTTGCTTCTGCTGCACTGAGAAAAGCAACTTATTGCTGATGCCACCACTACATGTAAATGTGGCACTTCTGGTACAGTATTATCGGAGCCATCTATGGTTGGTCTTTATTTCCTAGGTCAACCTCAATTTCAATTGCATGCTCCTCAGAAAGTGCTGTGCTGGCATGAAGAAATCATTGTCACATCTTTTACCACCAAGGAGTTAGAAAAGAAGCTCTGAAAATACACCGTACAAATTCAGAACTGTGAGTATACACCGCTGCAGACAACGGGTGAAGTCATCATCCAGCTAAACTGTAAGATGAAGTTGGGGATGTGAAATAACCGAGTAAGTGGTTAAGAACAGATTCTTCCAGTGCCATAAGCAAGCTTTTTGGATTCTATTCAGACCAGATGAACTTGCACTTTGATCACTATTTGGCTTAGTCTCAACATACCACAACACTAAAACTTTCACACGTGTTACTTATGATAAACTTAAAAATTACCAGATTCTTCTTAAAAACCTTGCAAAACCGTTAAGCTTAAAACGGAAAAACATATTTTCATTTTTGATTAAAGGAAGAAAAAAAGGGGGGGGACAGAGGGACGGGAGAGAGAATTAACTTTGTGAGACAGGCCAGAATATTTAGTATTTTTAGTTTGAAGTAGCAGTTCAAATACATGCTTTTTCTGACAGAGCTAGGGAAGTAAGTGTCCAAATGATTGCACAGATGATGCCTGTTAAAGATTCAAAAGGAACAATGCAGAAGTGTAACCGAGATGTCCAAGTTAATTTTTGTCTTTAAAATAAGGCATTTTATGGAAAAAGCATTTGGCAACATCAGACCTTACCGTGAAACCTTTAAATGACCCCACCACAACTGCTGGCAAGCAAATCCTTTCAAGAACTTTGGTGGGGCTAGACCAGGCTAACAAAGCAAAAGAGAAGGAATACAACAGCCCATTGAAACAAAAAATAGGTAACAGTTCTGTAAGCTAAACAACAGACTCTCCAGCAAGCTCGTATGTCTTGTACCCAGCAGCACACATGGTAATTAGCTATATCCTAGAATAATTTAATATGTTAATGTTGATTGACAATACAGTCACACCTTAGTTGACAAACAAAGCTTGGAACACGTTAAGCAAATCATTGTTGCTAGTCAAACCACACTAACAGAGGCACATTAGCAACAAGCTCTTCTGATTGCCATTTCCTTTCAGGAAAGTAGGCTTAATTAAAAATGAGGTCTGTATGATTTAAACTATTCTATGCTGCAATTTCCTTCTTTGCTTCCAATGGCACAGAAGTTAGTATTTCCTTTTGCTACCTTTGTGATTTTACTCTCCCCTTTTGCCAACCCATCCCAACTTCCCCTCTCTCCTCGCAAAACCACCAGTTGTAAACAGATCACTTTCATAGTGCTAAATTACATGTAAACAGCATCTAAAAATAAGGTGTGACCCAGGAATGGTTCCAATGGAATCTGCTGTCATCTATCCATCCTTGAAGAGACATTAAACCAGTTATATCAAAGGTCTTGTTTTAGGAGAGGGGCCACTTGAACTGCCATACCTTTAGCATGTAGTAGAAAGGGAACCAGGACAGAAAGATATCAGAGAAGAATTCTGCTATGCTGAAAACGCCGTACACAACCCAGTAAGTCAGCCACTGTGTGTCATCATCTTTGTTGGGACTTTCAATGGCCTTGATTCTGTAAGGAAAACAAAGAGCAGATCAGTAGCATCAGTCTCATCTGTAACAGTGTTGTTTTTACGACTCAGGTCTGTTGTTACATGTGAATGCACATAATTTAGTTACATGCTCCACAGAAGAGAACTAAGTAGTATCTCTCATAAAGACTGTGCCCAGGATCTTTGAACAGCAAAGCTTTTCAGACATTTCAGAGTTCAAAAAGAAAAGATCCTCAAGCTTCTTCTAGCTCTGTGATTACCAAAAAAAAAAAAAAAAAAGGGAAAAAGATCCTCAAGCTTCTTCTAGCTCTGTGATTACCAAAAAAAAAAAAAAAAAGTGAGCATCCTGACATTCTTCACAGAGAGCTCATGGGACGCGGAAAAGAGGGGATAATCTTTGCCCAGTTTCACTTCTTGCTGCAATAGGGTAACCCCTGGCTACAGATGAGGTCAGCACAGTACGCTGTGTGTGCACTGGAGGCCCACTCAGTGCTGCACAACTTGGGGTTCCCACAATCTACAGGGATATAAAATTGTCTATACTATTTCTCTGCTGGCTCTAATAAATAGCATTTTAAATGAAGCTTTACTGAATCTGAACGCCTTTCGTATGGGATCATAACAGACGAGCGCCTTCTGGTACAAACAGCATCTAGATAAAAATTTTAAATCTAGTTTAGGATTTTGAAGTGAATCTCAAATATCTTTACTCATAATGTATGTGCTCTACACTCCTCTTTGAAAAGATAAACCACAAGATACGCTCTAAACACTGACAAGCATTTGGTCTACAGGAGCAGAGGAGATCCATTACCCCCCGCCCCATGTAGTATGGACTACGTATACGCATCGCCAAGTGTTTTGCTGTGCAGGACTTGCAAATTCTGGTGTAGAGAACAGTACAAAGAACAGGGTGGAGCAACCTCTAGTAAAGTCTTGGGCTTCCCGCATAACAACTAATTGGGTTTTTGTTCTCCAACTGCTAGGAGAATGCACTTCAAGTTTATACAGTTCTAAAAATAGGAAGTTGAAAGAAAGACAAGCTTTCTTCAGTAGAAGCAGCGAAGCGGAGACTCTGGACTCACCAGGTTCCAGATTAGCACTATAAGTTTTAGAAGGAAAAAGCAACTGTAAGCCTGATAATGTAAAGCTTAAAGAGTATTAAAAAGCCTTTGTTCTCTCCACTCCTGCCATAAGATTAAAATCTGTAGACTCAGTTTAATGAATTTAGTTTTAATTCTTTTAAGACTCACTCCTTTAATATCAGCTATATTGTTGCTGAAGCAGCATCTGTGGGATATATCAAAGGTGCAAAGTTTTCTTTTAGTCCATAAAAAAGACTGAGAGTTAGAGAGGTTAACAAAACAGAAACCACAGATAGATGGCTGGCTGTAAGTACACTGCCTGGTTTGTGAACTGAGAAACCCTTTGGACTGTGTCACTTCCTAGCGCTGTAAATGAAGAAAAAAAAAAGGGAAAAAATCAATTATGCAACATGCCTTATGTTTAAGTAACATGCTGGCAAACCCACCACATGCAGACATCACTGGCGTAGCTACTGGACTGAATTAATTTGAAACACAATATGAAGATCTGATACTTAATTTATGCATTATTTCCATTAGAGTTCGTGGCTGGCCAGTAGGGTCCCGCGATGGGGAGTGCAACAGCCCTTGCCCTACTCCATCATGCACACAAGTAAGGCGTTGTTATTCAGGTGCCGCATCAGCACAACTGGAAGGACAGGTTTTCTACAGGTGGACAGCAACAGGTCTGCTCACTGCTGTCCCTAACAACAGCATTAGGAAACAGTAATCCAGGCAGTCTGCTCAAAGGCAGCACCAACTCCAGCTGCTCCTGCCCTCCCACTCTAAACCACATTTTTTCTATGCCCCCATCTCTCAGTTATCCTAATGCTGCCAGGTGAGGGGGCCCTATAAAAAAAAAATCCCAACGATATGGGAGGTAAGAGAGAGAGGGCTGCTGATGTATTTTCAAGGTACGAAACCATAGTTTCGGAAGGAAAAAAGAAGTACAAGTGACTAGTAGGGAAGTCAGAGTGGTGGGTAAGTAGAGCACAGAAAGTAGCTAATTGCAAAGTTTCTCAGTGTTAGGGAAAACTTGCTGTAGTGGTTCATCAGGTGAATTTCTCTGGTTCTGCTGACAACGTCTCCATTAGAAGCATACAGGGGAAGGCTTATTTTGCTACAATAAGCATGCTAGCTTGGTTATTTGTGAGAGAATGCTTTGCAGTGAAACTGCTAACAGTCTTGCTGTTTTCCAACCATCCAAAGCCATCCACGGATTTACGGAAGCACTGTTTAACTTTTGTTAACATTAAAGTTATCTCAGTCATCATGAAAATCAGTTTTCATAAAAAAAGTTTAGAATCTCCAATTCTGTGGCAAAGGGCAGATGACCTATCCTTGTGTTAACGAGGCACGCTTCGTTATCTTCTCTCCTATAAAAACAGACAGCCTTTAAGAGCTCCATAAATTCAGTGCCATGGGCGTGCTCCCTTTGAACATTCACCATCTGCTGCTGTAGTTCCCTAAGGAGATGTCCTGAAGGGCGTACATGAACAAGACACTTTCACGGTCAGTCACAAGCGGCAGTACTACACGTAGTTAAAACCCCATCCGATTTAACCAGCATTCCGTCTACACGTGGTGTTTTCTCGCACACTCTAGAAAACAGCACATTTCCCCTCCTGTAATGGTCTGATCCAGGTAGGCACCACGGGACAAGCTCACGTGGCAGTCAGCTCTTAAGGAAGAGCAAAACAGCATCTGTTAGCAAAGTCTCCAGTCCCAATCCCATTTAGTGGGAGGAAAGGAAGGAAAAAATGGATATAGCAGTGCCATCAGTGAATGAAAGTTTTAACTGAAGTCAAGGAAAGGGAAGTGTTTTACAAATATTCTGCTTCTGAATGCAAAATACGTCCCTCAGCTGACACTGCCAGTGGAAATCCTTAGTCTAACATGTCCCTGTTTAATAAAAGGACAAAAGTTATCTCCATACTTTGCTACTTGTACACTATTTCAATAGTAAGTCACAGAAAATACTCCTTATCCAAGAACAAGTAAGTACAGTAGGTTATATAGAGTATCTGAACGGATAGGTTTGCTGTCCATTTATCACTGTACTCTTGTCAACATGAGAATCTCACCCTAATTAGACTTATTCTTCTAAGCTGTTCTGTAAGTTACTAGATATTCTCAGGGTGTAACGCTCTGCACAATTAACCCTAGAAGACACATCATACATCTTACTTCAAGCCAAGAACATTTTATTCTTCTCCACGTTACGTCTTAAGCCAATCAGTCTCACATTAAAAATGTGATCTCCATCAACAAATAAAAAAGATACCGGTTAAGAGGCACTGGTAGTACAGCCAGTAGGCCAGCCTTCTCATAATGGTTATTTATACATTGCAATAACAAATAAGTCAGTCTCATTAGCACGTAACACTAAGACTTGCTTACAAAGAAAGGAGCATCCAAAGCCTATAGTTTCAAATTTAAAAATAAAAGAGACACTGTCAGGTTTTTGTAATTTTTTTCTACTGACACGACTAAATTCCATGTTAATTATGTTTAGTAGTCACACATCACAAAGGATTTTCTATGATGCTTACAAACTAACTGTAGAGGACTTTAAACAAAGCCTCAAACAACTATTCACAGTAGTTCTGCGCATCAGAGGTAAGAGCAGTCACTAGGAACAGCTTCCAGTAGGCTGGATGGTAAACACCACAGCTCGGTTCTTTTAAAAACAGATGCCTGTCCAGCAGTGAAAATGGTCTGCCATGGGCCAGCATTGCCAACTTGTGCAGACAGATGGAGAGCCAAGTAAAAACTTCATTTTTAGGCAGATCTGTTCCTCAATAACCCAGCTAGCTGGTGATGCCAACAGAGAAGAGCAGAGGCTGCCATGCTCCCCAGTGGCCCAGGGCTCATATCAGTTGTGTAGCCACAGTATCAGAGAGCCGGCTCAATTTTGATTGTGTGCATCCTGGAATCAGTCAAGCTGAACTCTAGATCGATTGTGGTTACTTGCTCCTGTTACCTGATAGTAACAGATACTGGTCTAAGTAAGCTGCCAAGCTGAAGTCTTTCACTTAAAACATCTGACTCCTTTTGACAAAAACTCATCTCTTTCCAAGAGACTGTTACACACTCCTGAATTACCTGCGGCATAACAAAACATTGTTAGACTTTATTCACACATACAGTACTCACAGAATAAGCATATTATAACTATACCAGTTATGAGTTTAGGGTGTTTTGGATTTTGTGGGTTTTTCTGAGCTGAGTCCAGATATGGAAGCCATAAATAAAGAAAAAAAAAAGACAAGTTTTATTGCTCTAGTCTCATGTGAAGTGATCACTCAAATCCCTGCAATTTACAAGGTGTACCAGATGACTCTTGTATAAATAAATTTACAAGTTTAAGACAAAAAATTCCACTCCGTTAAGCCCAGGAAGACTGGACCATTCTGTGCACCCTTCCTTTAGTTTTCAAATCAGTGCTATACTAAGTGAGTAGGCAGGCATATCAGTGATCCTCTTAGCCAAGCATAACTCCTTTTTGTCCCGTTTAACTTAAAAAAACCCCTACAATTACCTGCACCTCTAGAGCTTATACTTACTGGTCTGCCCTAACTCTTCGCAGCCGGTTGTGGTGATTCAAAAATAATTTACTTCCAGCTATGTATCCAGACACCTGTGCAATCAACACTCCACTGCACCACAGACTTCCTCGGTTTGGTGCCTCCCCGTCACTCTCGTTTCAGACTCATCTTGGCAGGCAGCCTCTGTACATCTCGCACCATTTCAGTGAAACAAGTACCTGAGTATTTGTATCTGCTTTATCATTTTGTCTTCTGCATTTTAAAGCTTTCTGTCTTCCATCTTTCTTCCTCGTTACTGACTCCAACAGCAGAGCTGTGCATCTGCAGATACAGAGAACATCTTCCTGCCAAAGGCACTTACGCAACTGCTGCGGTGTAAGTCTACCACCTCCCCCTTCTCCAAATTTTGTGTATCCAGAAGATGGCAGCAGACAAATTCATGCAGGATAGCAAGTGGGGCTCACTATCCATGCAGGGTCATACACTATTCAAAGACAACAAACAACATGACAGTAGTACAAACGGTTCTACCTTTGTTTCTTCAAAGGAAATGGAGACTGAGGCAACAGAAGGAGCACATGCCACTTTGCCCACCATTGAAGTAAGTTCTACAAACTACATTTTACCTCAGCAAAGTTGCAAAAACAGCAGTGATCTTCTCATTTCATTGCTCTCTGCTGATTCTTGGCCTGCTCTCTTTCGGAACAAGTATTTGTGGGGCCACACGGTGAGTCAGTTCCCCAGTTCTGACTCAGGTTAAAACCAGCCTCCCCCAAACACACACCCACAGGCTGTTTTTGCTGGGATTAATACGCGCCAGCGCCTCAGTCCAGCCTCCCAAACCACTTGGTTACCGCCCGTTTTGCCACACAGGCCAGGCGATGCGGGTGGTGCTGTGCAGCAGGAGCTCTGGCAGCCTTCGGCTCTGCACTCCCGGAGCAGTCGCCCAAGCTCTCGTGCTGCAAGGGGGATGTTCTCCACTTCCACCCTTAACGCTGGCAAGGAAAGTCACTGTGGCCTTCAGCAACCTGTGAACACCATCTCGGGCTAAGCTTTACCAGCTTCACTGCTGGCCGTATTTGTCCACATTAGCAGTGAGGCCAGTACTGTGACACTGCTTGCTACAGTCTAAAGGCCTGGTGTGGAAACGTCTAATCCCCGCTCATCTTACAGAATTCTTTCAAGCTCTCTTTCTTGTCAGTACCTTCAGGAAAGACAAGTGGCATGCAGTGAGGCATGCAGTGAGGGAGCTTCACGAAAAGCCATATTTTACCTGCGTAGTGCAGATATGCCTCATCCCACCAGACGAAGCCACTTGCTAAGGATGCACAACACAACGTTTCTCTACTCGTGACAGCTAATTTCATTGGATGGAAAAAAACATGTCACATGTTTTGGCTGCCTCTCCACAGCTGTTATTGTTCAGGGTGCAGGCACAGAGATCAGACAGTACTGTTGCAACCAGAGGGAGGAGAACTGGGCCCTTACTACATGCTTACAACAATACAAAAAGAATTAAAGTTACGTTTTCCTGTCAGCTTATGCTGCACTGTGTAGACTATATTTCAACCATAATTTTCTTACAGCTCTACTACTTTTCTTCAGTTCTGTTTACTGCAATGTTGGCAAAAGAATTCTAGTCTGGCCCTAGTTTATACAAACATACAGTAGAGCATGAAATCGTGGTGCAACGCTTCCAGACTCATCTCAGTAAAATGTCACTTTTTTGTGGTAATCACTGTGTAAGGAGTTTTTAAACTAGGAACAAAAATCCCACAGTTCTAATTATTGAATGTAATTTTAAAATTGACTTATCAGGGAGTGGGAAAGGGTTTCAAGTTTTAGGCTGAGGACTAAATCCTGGGTTGGGGCTGGGTTTGCATAGACCTGAAGAACTTCCTTTACGAGTACGGTGCCAGTTGCTAAGCTGTTAAAGCAACAAAATTTTGTAATTTTTCTTTTTTAAAAAAATGTACATTTTGTCTAGTGTCTGCCGACCCTCACACCAAAGTTTGTACTTCTGTTCCTAACAGCTGAAGACAGCTTCATTACCCTCATCTAAAAATTGTGTATATTGCTGATCGTATACATAGCGACAAGTAGGCTTCCTTTCTTTTGGGACAGCAAGATCTTGCCAGCTCTCTGTGTTGGACAGTATCACAGCTGTAAAGAGAGACTTTTAAAATGTAACTAGAGTACATCACCACGACAAAACAAAACAGGAAAACAAGAAAAGCAACTGACCTGGTTTCAGCCAGGACAGAGTTAAGTTTCCTCCCAGTAGCTGCTGTGTCTTGGTTTTAGTAGAAGAATGTTGATAACATGATGGGTTTACTTGTAGAAAAATGTTGATAACATGATGGGTTTAGTTGTTGCTAAGAAATCAAGGACTTTTTTCCAGTTTCCCATGTTCAGCTAATGAGGAGTGCGGGAGCTGGGAGGGAGCACAGCCAGGCAGCGAGCCCAAGCTGGCCGGTGGAAATATTCCACACCATAGGCGGTGTGCTCAATTTATAAGTGGGGGTTGGCCAGGGGGACAGGAATTCTCTCTTTTCCAGGAGCCTGGACTTTTCTGGGAGTTCAGGGTTTTTTTGTGCATTTGAAGAGTTCTGTGAAATTCTCAAGTTCAGCAAAATCTGGGAAATTCTGAGTTGCGGAAAACCTGCGCATTCCATGATCGCTGCTCAGGGACTGGCTGCACAATTGGCTACCAAGCAGTATGTGTGTGTATAGCTTGTTTTACACATTCATTAGCAGTATTTCCTTTGTTATCTTATTAAACTGACTTTATCTCAACCCATGAATTTTACCTTTTGTCCATCCTCCTCTCCATCCTACTGAGGAGGAGATGGAGGGGTGAGCAACTGGCTGTCTGGTGCTTAGTTACCGGCTGCCAGGTTAAACCACGACCGCAAATAACAATAACCTACATTTTTTTTTAATCTCACTTTTTGACTCCAGCTCACTTTTTCAGCATTTAGGATCAGCAACGTTACATGTTAAATGTCAGAAGCGTTGCGACCCACCAGCAGGAAGGGTAGTTTAAAAATGTATTCCAGCAAACCCCGCGGATCTAAGTCCAACGATTCCTTTAACATCTGTAGGCCTCTATCAACCAAGTCGCTAGAGGTCAACACAGTAAGAGAGGAGTGAAAACAAGGTGCAGTACTGCAGTGCGTCTTGACCAAGATGGTCTTGTAAAATGCCTTCATTTATGTCTCAAACATATCCGCAGTCCCTAAAAATAGTACCTGCATCAATTACAAACTGGAAATCTTTCAATAAATTTAATCCAGATTGTGGACCCGTCTGTATAACAAAGACCTTTATTTTTTTAACCTAAATTTAAGATACAGAAGATAAATTTAAATTTTCCTACAGTTATCACAACATTATGACACTCTCCTGCGCTAACCACGTGCTATCTCTAGAAAGGAAAGCACATAATTTGTCCAAACAACGCGTCTTTTATTTTAAACATGGCACTCTAAAACCTAAAAGACAAAAAGCAAGTGTGTTTGGAGGAAGTGATTTGGCAGAATATATACAAAAAATTCAAAACACGCTTTTTAGTGTCTGAAGCCCCATGAAAAGAGTGTCAGCTGGGAAAGGAAACAGCATAAGTGCAGACAGACTTGTTAACTTTCTGCTGGTATTTATACCGAGCGTTATGAATCCATTTAGGTATGCCACCTCTCTCAAATAACTTCTATACAGCGGCAGCAGAGCATCACTTGTGAACATTAGCATATCACACAGCATTTTCCATTAAGGTAAAACGTAAGCATTTTCCTCAAAATTTGGTAAGAGACAGCAGATTTGCAGTTTTTATCCAGCTAGGTACCCCAGCTCTCACCAAACCCAGGAACAATGTAACATTTTCTAAACAACTGTGGCCAACGAACTGCAGCGTTCCTGTTTTAGAGGTATGGAAGAGGCAAAGAAACTAGATGACAGGCTCGAAGACACCACGACAGTATTTAAATTAAGACTTGAGCTGTGTGTTTATGCTTCCCTACAATCAATCTAGATTGTTTTCTGTTTGTGAAATGCCAGGAGCAGCACTTACACAGTAAAAACAGCTAAACTGAAGTAACAGCATAAAATCAGCCAAAGCAGGGAGGCATGATCATATACATTGCTTTTCTCCCTTGAAGACATGAGGAATAAGTTCAGACATTTTACTGCCAAAAGCTATTTTTATCTTTGCAATGTTTAAACCAAATATGACGGCACTTCTGAAATTTCCAATCCTTTGCACGCATTTCTTAGTTATCAAAAGGCTGCCTTCCTGCCTGCACTCTCTCTAATTTTTTTGAGGCAGTTAACCATCACTGGCTATGGGTGGAGCTACACTGAAACAGACTAGTTCTGGAAAGTTTAGAGAAGCAGTGAAAATACTGGCAATGTTATTTATATACTGCCAACACTCACTTCTTCCATCTACTAGTCTGAACACTGCCTTGTGCCGTTAAAGCTTGCTCTAAGTATAAAAAGTTGCTTCTATCATCTGTGGTAAACTTTTCAATGCTAGTGTACTGCAAACACAAAAGCCTGCAAACAAATAATAGATTTTAACTTACAATTATTCTATTTCATCACATAGCACTTGACAGAATTTTAGCAAATCAGACCAGGGGTCTATGACAAACTTTAACCCAGATTGTCTGACTTACTGGAAACAGCCAGATAACGTTTCCTTGGAAAACCACTGCTTAATTTTGATTACATTAAGAGACTTGGGTGGGCCTTTCCTGGTGACATGGCACAGAAAACTTGTATTTTTGCGAAGATTTTGTATCGCTAGAGAAGAAACTCCTCTGTGTGTAAAACCACTAAAGACTTACAGAAAGCAAAGCTGAAGGTGAACATGAACAAGGGGGAAGGAGAGAGGAAACAGCTGTGCCTGCCTGAAGCTGTTACAGGCATTAGTCAGTGAGTTGCCCCCTCCTCTTGCGGTGGCTTCGAGCCTTGGCCAAGGCCAGCACTGCAGTGATGTGAACGCAGGCAGCAGTGCAGCGGCAGCTGTACCACTTCACGCCGACGGCCAGGCACTCCCCATCTGCTAGGTCTAACCCAGCAGCTACAGCCTCCAGCACTTCTCCACTGAAATTTGCACCTGTGGCATGGCACGCAACCACAACGAATACGGCAAACGATGCAAACAGAAGAAAAGAAACCACAGAATTATACAAGGCCTGACAGGTAGATACCTGCACACCCGTAAAACTGACCTGGTTTCATGTGTGAACAGACCGAAATCTGAGCTGAGCATCCTTCTCTGGTTTTTTCCCAATGTATGTTCTTTCAGGCGAGCACAGAGATGAACAGTAACGATCGTGACCAAGACAACCCGGAACTAAAATCCTAGTGAAACATGTGGAACGTACCTAATGGGTCACTCACCTCGTAACCTGTTTGCCATTTTAAACAACTGTTAGGACAGCAAGTGATCTCCCTTGCAGAACACAGACATTTCACCCATTCCTTCACGAGTGTCTTTTCTGCTGAACAGAAGCCTGACCCAGTACTTCTTGTTCTTCAATTTAAACAATTCAGTCACTGGCAGTGAGGAAATGATACACTGATCTACTTCACAACAGAAGAAAAAGTAAGTTAAGTGGGGAAAAGTCATCTGCTTTTTCTCTTTCAGTACCTTTCTCAGACACTTCACGCTTGAAACACTTACATAAACACCAAACTAATACCCTGCACAATACGTTCCATTTACAGCTCCTGACCTCCTCCAGAAGCCACAGCTTTTGCAGCAAAAGCCACCTGAGGGTGTTTGCAGCTGGTGACAAGAGCTGAAAACTCTTTTCTGCCTAATGCTAGGAAACAAATCTCACTACCGTTAGTTCAGGTAGCAGGCTCTTCAGTTGCCTTTTCAAAGGGGACAGACCAAATAGAGGAGAGGAATAAACAAACCACAGGGCTAGTGCTCTTTATGCTTTGCGTCTTTACGCTTTCTGAGCACAAATGATAGCACTTGGCAGCACCCTGACTGCAGTATAGGACCAAGAGCAGCAAAAATGAAAGCAGGAATCACTCCAGAATTCAGCTTTATCTTCCCGCAGCGCAGCCCTGCATCAGGATGGTGGAGATCCTGCAGTAGATATGGAGAGTGGCATGGTAGCAGCAAGACAAAAAGAAACCCATATAGTGGAAGAAGGTTAATCACCAAAGACCACTTTTGCTCTTTTTCATGGTCTGGGAGCCATGTTTGACTGCAGACTGAAAGCAGGACACAGCACAGATGTCCCAGGGTGTTGCTGTCAGACTGACCCCGTAACACTGTATAGTCTAGCAAGGGCAACACTGCCTATCCTGAATCCACACTCCCAAAAAACAGGAAACTCAACGGGACCATGAAAACGTGTGCACTAGCACCTGTCCTCCCGCTTCTCCTCCGCGCCCGCACTGCTGGCTCTACAGGCTCTGCGGCGGAGCAATGCATGTGGGAAATCGCTACGCACCAGCTACCAACCTGGGAAGGGCGGGAGGGGATCGAGCCCACCGGTGCTGTCAGCAGGCTGCTTCATGGGCCGGAACCTGTCTGCTGGCTGCCACTGAAAGGCACTGGCATGCAGCGCATCACATGTGCTTTAAATTAGGCTTTCACCCAAGATTATGATTTTCTCCTAAACATGTTTCAGCATTTAAAACGCAGCTGAAGGGAAAGCACTAACAGAACCCAAGTCAGAAAAAGCAGAACCGGCACCGTATTCATGTGCATGTTATTCATCACGCTTCTTTGTTTTAGTCAAATCTGTAGCCAAGGACAATGGATACACACCCATCACCAATAAAAACCAAC